GATCAGTATAAATCAGAGGAGACACTTTCCCAGTACACAGACGCTACCCAACACAGACCAGGTCAGACATAACATACAAACCCTATGTTTGAAATAACTTGTTATTGAGCTTTCTACAAGCGTAAGAGATTAAATTATTCAATTCCAGTACTGTTCTTCTAAGAGCTTAGTAGTTAGAATGTTGTGCCGTCATGGTAAATAAGTTACGCTTTGCAGCAAAAATTAAACTTACACGGATACTCATGTTTTATTAACACAGAATAAATAGGGAAGACATAAACGATGACTTAATGCGTTGTTTCACATTTTGACGGCTGTTCCTTTCTCGGTTTATCTTTTTAAATAATATATTTTGGCTAATGTTTTGCATGTGGGAGTGTTTCTATCCTTGGTGCTGAACATATCTTTTTAAACTCGCTGTTAGTTCCGAGAAGATAATTGAAAACCGGATGTTGTATATCGTTATTGAATCAACCAACAAATATACTTTGAAACTTCACATATTTCATAATTCATTTTTGAAGCTTATGTTTCGATTGAAAACATAATCACCTGTAGTTTATTGCAAATAACACCAGTTTTACAGTGCAAGTCATTTTTCACTGGGAATAACGTTGATCGTAATTGTTTCACCTGTGTTTTTTTCAATTGCCTTTAAGACTTTTGAAATGCATAGATGTTTACAACGTGACTGTCTCATTAAGAATGTAGTTATCAAAAATGTCCACATGGAGACACTCTAGACCAGCATATTTGGACGGGTTCGCTTGTAGCTTTGGGCTCCTCCCAGTTTCCGCTGACGATAAATCACTGGGCTTTGTTAAGAAGAGAGGTTGGACGACAAAGAGCGGTGTTCTGGTCTGTTAATGTCGAGACTTTTCAATGGAATATTTCACATTTAATCCTAATTTTCGTGGTTTTTCCGATTATTTCCATATTTTCTAGATGCCCCTTCTCTTTATACGGGATAATGCATTTGCTGAGCAGAACGGGCTCTATGTGGATTTATCTCTTGTTCCTGCTGCTGGATTGTTATTGGGAAACGGTCTCTGGGCAGCTCTCATATTCCGTTTCAGAGGAGGTAAATCTGGGAACTGTTGTCGGAAATATCGCTAAAGATTTAAACATAAATGTGCCGGATTTGGAGCCCCGAATGTTTCAGATCGTTGCTGGATTAAAGAGGAAATTTCTCGAGGTAAATCTAAAGACCGGTGTTCTGTATGTTAATGAGAGAATAGATCGAGAGGAACTCTGCACGAACGAACCTAAATGTTCTATCAGCGTAGAAGCAGTTATTAACAACCCTTTAAAACTCTACCGGGTTGAAATTAATATCTTAGATGTTAATGATAATGCCCCATCTTTTCGAAGCACTTCGCAGGTAATTAACATTACAGAGAATACAGCATCCGGGGCTAAATTTCCGCTGCATTCAGCTCATGATGCAGACGTCGGTAAAAATGCAGTAAATGCCTACAAGCTGAGCCCAAACGAACACTTCTCTCTAGCCACAAATAAAGGAGTGAGTTCATCTCCTGAGTTACTGCTTCTGAAAGTTTTGGACAGAGAAACACAGCCTGTCATTCGACTCACATTGACGGCCATTGATGGAGGAACTCCTGCTAAATCAGGCACTACGGTGATTGTTATTAATGTCTTGGATATTAATGATAATCCTCCCGTATTTATGCAGTCGCTTTACAAAGCCAGTGTGTATGAGAATGTAAAGATAGGGGCGTCAATAATAACGGTTAATGCCACTGATTCAGATGCTGGCCAAAATGGTAAAGTATTTTATTCATTTCAGTGACGTAAGGTCGAGGGAAGCAAACTGACTTGTTTACTATAGATGAAAAAACTGGGACTGTAACAAGTCAAAAGAATATCGACTTTGAAGTTAATAATGCTTTTGAGATCCGAATACAAGCTAGTGATGGAGCGTCTTCCCCTCTCACTTCACACGCAAAATTATTGATTGAAGTTTTAGATTTGAATGACAATGCCCCTGAAATTTCAGTTACATCATTGTTAAACACCGTGAGGGAGGACGCTTCCATTGGCACCGCTATTGCACTTGTGTCAGTGTTTGATAAAGACGGGGAGAAAAATGGGATGGTAAAGTGTCACCTTTCGAATAATGTTCCTTTTAAATTAGAGTCAAATTACAGAAATTACTATTCGTTGGTTGTTGATGGTCCTCTTGACAGGGAGAGCACATCTCAATATAATATTACCATAATTGCGTCAGATACGGGTAGACCACCTCTTTCCAGCACGAGCTTTATTAATGTTCACGTCTCGGATGTAAATGATAACAGACCTCTATTTAAAGAAAAGGTGATGAATGTATATTTGGAAGAAAACAGTCCAATTGGAGCAGTTATAAAAACAGTTTCAGCAATTGATGCTGACATCGATCAAAACGGTCAGGTGAGCTATTCATTTTTACAAAGTAACAGTAACTCGTTGCCTCTCTCCACAATGATAAACATCAACTCAGAAACTGGAGATATAGTCACCCTGCAGTCGTTTAACCACGAGGAGTTAAAAACGTTTCAGTTTAAAGTTCAGGCCACAGACTCCGGTGTTCCTCCGCTCAGCAGCAACGTGACTGTGAACGTTTTAGTCCTGGATGAGAACGACAACAGTCCCACCATCCTCTTGCCCTATTCTGAGCACGGCTCCGTTAACAGTGAGAGCATCCCCTATTCTGCTGAAGCGGGATACTTTGTGGCAAAGATCAGGGCTGTAGACGCAGACTCTGGATACAACGCGCTGCTTTCTTATCACCTCTCTGAGCCCAAAGGAAACAACCTCTTTCGGATCGGAACCAGCACCGGAGAGATCAGGACTAAGAGGAGAATGAGTGACAATGACTTGAAAACTCACCCCTTGGTGGTGTTGGTGTCTGATAACGGAGAACCCTCCCTGTCAGCTACTGTGTCTATTGACGTGGTGGTGGTTGAAAGCACAGCTGACATCCAGACTCAGTTCAGACACGTTCCCCTAAAGGAGGACAGCTTCTCTGACTTAAACCTGTATCTGCTGATCGCCATTGTGTCGGTGTCGGTGATCTTTCTGCTGAGCCTCGTCATTTTAATAGCTGTCAAATGCCACAGGACAGACGGCAGCTTCAGCAGGTACAGCGCCCCAATGATCACCACCCACCCGGACGGGAGCTGGTCTTACTCTAAATCTACTCAGCAGTACGACGTGTGTTTCAGCTCGGACACACTGAAGAGTGACGTAGTGGTTTACCCTGCACCTTATCCGCAAGTAGATGGTGAGCTGATCAGTATAAATGGAGGAGACACTTTTTCCAGAACTCAGACTTTACCCAACAAAGACAAGGTAAGAATGTACCATGTTGATGACAGCCCGTCATTCGACTCACACTGACGGCCGTTGATGGAGGAACTCCTGCTAAATCAGGCAGTATGGTCATTGTAATTAATGTCTTGGATAGTAATGATAATCCTCCTGTATTTAGTCAGACGCTCTATAAAGCAAGCGTGTATGAGAATGTACAGAAAGGCACCTCAATAATTACACTAAATGCTACTGATTTGGATCTAGGTAAAAACGGAAAAATATCATATTCGTTTCTTGAAATAGACCAGGGGAAACAAACTGATCTGTTTGGTATAGATAAACAAACTGGCACTGTAACAAGTCAAAAGAATATCGACTTTGAAGAAAATAATGCTTTTGAGATGAGAGTTCAAGCTAGTGATGGAGCTTCTTCACCGATGACGTCACATGCTAAATTGTTGATTGAGGTTTTAGATTTGAATGACAATGCCCCTGAAATTTCGGTTACATCATTGTTAAACACAGTAAGGGAGGACGCATCGATTGGCACCGCTATTGCACTTGTGTCAGTGTTTGATAAAGACGGAGGGGAAAACGGGATGGTAAAGTGTCACCTTTCAAATAATGTTCCTTTTAAATTAGAGTCAAATTACAAAAATTACTATTCGTTGGTTGTTGATGGTCCTCTTGACAGGGAGAGCACATCTCAATATAATATTAGCATAATTGCGTCAGATACGGGTAGACCCCCTCTTTCCAGCAGGAGCGTTATTAATGTTCACGTCTCGGATGTAAATGATAACAGACCTCTATTCATAGAAAAAGTGATGAATGTATATTTGGAAGAAAACAGTCCAATTGGAGCAGTTATACAAACAGTTTCAGCAATCGATGCTGACATCAATCAAAACGGTCAGGTGAGCTATTCATTTTTACAAAGTAACAGTAACTCGTTGCCTCTCTCCACAATGATACACATCAACTCAGAAACTGGAGATATAGTCACCCTGCAGTCGTTTAACCACGAGGAGTTAAAAACGTTTCAGTTTAAAGTTCAGGCCACAGACTCCGGTGTTCCTCCGCTCAGCAGCAACGGGACTGTGAACGTTTTAGTCATGGATGAGAACGACAACAGTCCCACCATCCTCTTGCCCTATTCTGAGCACGGCTCCGTTAACAGTGAGAGCATCCCCTATTCAGCTGAAGCGGGATACTTTGTGGCAAAGATCAGGGCTGTAGACGCAGACTCTGGATACAACGCGCTGCTTTCTTATCACCTCTCTGAGCCCAAAGGAAACAACCTCTTCCGGATCGGAACCAGCACCGGAGAGATCCGGACTAAAAGGAGAATGAGTGACAATGACTTGAAAACTCACCCCTTGGTGGTGTTGGTGTCTGATAACGGAGAACCCTCCCTGTCAGCTACTGTGTCTATTGACGTGGTGGTGGTTGAAAGCACAGCTGACATCCAGACTCAGTTCAGACACGTTCCCCTAAAGGAGGACAGCTTCTCTGACTTAAACCTGTATCTGCTGATCGCCATTGTGTCGGTGTCGGTGATCTTTCTGCTGAGCCTCGTCATTTTAATAGCTGTCAAATGCCACAGGACAGACGGCAGCTTCAGCAGGTACAGCGCCCCAATGATCACCACCCACCCGGACGGGAGCTGGTCTTACTCTAAATCTACTCAGCAGTACGACGTGTGTTTCAGCTCGGACACACTGAAGAGTGACGTAGTGGTTTACCCTGCACCTTATCCGCAAGTAGATGGTGAGCTGATCAGTATAAATGGAGGAGACACTTTTTCCAGAACTCAGACTTTACCCAACAAAGACAAGGTAAGAATGTACAATGTTGTTGCCAGCCCGTCATTCGACTCACACTGACGGCCGTTGATGGAGGAACTCCTGCTAAATCAGGCAGTATGGTCATTGTAATTAATGTCTTGGATAGTAATGATAATCCTCCTGTATTTAGTCAGACGCTCTATAAAGCAAGCGTGTATGAGAATGTACAGAAAGGCACCTCAATAATTACACTAAATGCTACTGATTTGGATCTAGGTAAAAACGGAAAAATATCATATTCGTTTCTTGAAATAGACCAGGGGAAACAAACTGATCTGTTTGGTATAGATAAACAAACTGGCACTGTAACAAGTCAAAAGAATATCGACTTTGAAGAAAATAATGCTTTTGAGATGAGAGTTCAAGCTAGTGATGGAGCTTCTTCACCGATGACGTCACATGCTAAATTGTTGATTGAGGTTTTAGATTTGAATGACAATGCCCCTGAAATTTCGGTTACATCATTGTTAAACACAGTAAGGGAGGACGCATCGATTGGCACCGCTATTGCACTTGTGTCAGTGTTTGATAAAGACGGAGGGGAAAACGGGATGGTAAAGTGTCACCTTTCAAATAATGTTCCTTTTAAATTAGAGTCAAATTACAGAAATTACTATTCGTTGGTTGTTGATGGTCCTCTTGACAGGGAGAGCACATCTCAATATAATATTAGCATAATTGCGTCAGATACGGGTAGACCCCCTCTTTCCAGCAGGAGCGTTATTAATGTTCACGTCTCGGATGTAAATGATAACAGACCTCTATTCATAGAAAAAGTGATGAATGTATATTTGGAAGAAAACAGTCCAATTGGAGCAGTTATACAAACAGTTTCAGCAATCGATGCTGACATCAATCAAAACGGTCAGGTGAGCTATTCATTTTTTACAAA